AAAGGTACGGTAAGCCAAGGTGTGTGTCATTGGTAATTGTGGATGACATTTTTTGTTTTGCTTACATTAAAAATTAATCATAAAAATCTTTTCTATATTATTATAAATTTAAATACTTTTTAAAAATATACAAATATAGGGTGAAGGAGAGAGAGAAAGGGAGAGAGAGAGGGAGAGAAAGAAAAAAGTAATTAAAATATTTCAAATTATTTTATGTTTTTTATAAAAAATGCTTATCATATTGTTAAATTTTTGACTCAATTTTGCTCATCGTCCTACAGTAATCATTCATTATTTTATGCTACTTTCATCAATAAATTTATCATTATTGTAATTAAGAAGAATTAAAAAAAAAAAACAAATGATCTGATATTGAGATAATCTGATATCAAAAATTTGCCTAATATTGAAGTGATATGATATGAACTGATACCAAAAATAGCCTGATAATGAAATGATATGATAAAATCTGATGTTAAAAATGACCTAATAATATGGAAAATTTACAGTATCATTAAAGATAGCAAACTTTCAATGTTTCCTGTTTACTTACAATTGCAAATGAAAGCCGAAAGGATTATAAGTTGAAAAGAAGCGATTGCGGTTAATGATAAACTATTTCACGAAGGAAATAATCATTCATTTGATTACTCATCAATAGGTAAACAATTAATGAATTAGTCTTGTCCATTGTTTATTACCAAATAAATAGAAGCGAAAAAAGAAAAAGTATTTCAGTCAAAAAAAAAAGGAAAGAAAATGATTTATAAGAAAAGCAAATGAATAATGTGAATGGAAGAAAAACATTTATAATTAAACGTTAAAACATGTAATTTTAGACGTTAAAACGTGTAAGCTTAGACGTTAAAACGTGTAAGTTTAGACGTTAAAACGTGTAACTTGCTATAATGTGACAATTAAAAGGGTTAAGAAAAAAGAAATAAATGTATAATTATTCGGAAAAGTAAACATATATTAACGTATAATTATACACCCATAATATATGATGGCATGCATCAATAATTTGCATCATATAAACTACCATATCATATCAATGCATATCGTAATCACATCATATACCGTATCATATCATATCATACCATATATCATAAAATCCTCATAAATTACGGTATATTTTTGGAAAAATGATTTTAAAATAGAAGAAAACGAAGAACAAAAAAAAAATTAAATTTTTACATTTTTAAAGAAAGAAAATGATGTGATAGTTAGTTTATCAGAAAAAAAAAAAAAAAGGGAAAAGAAAAAATTGAATGATTACTGATTTCATTGTTAGCATTTCCTATCTGAATCATTATGTAATCATCATTCTTTTGCTATTTGCAAATATCTAACATATTCAATCATTATTTCGCTTGTTGTTG